TTATTATTTTAATATTTTCTGACGTGGAATGGTGATGTGGCAGTTAGCCATTTCATGATTCGCAATAATAGTTGTGGCTATTATTTTGTATTTCGATAGTTATGGATATAATTTCCCGTTTGTTAATAGTTGTGGATAATATATTGTATTTGCCCTTGTTTTTATTGTAGTAGTTGTGCTTGTTGAAATTGGTTTGATTCTTATAATGGAATAGATTGTTTATATTGGTAGATTTTGCCGTGTAATGGTACTATTTTTTCCGTAGTTGTATTGGTTCGTCTTGATTGGTTGTATTGGTATAGTTTTCTTTTTTATGTTTTGGCATTGATTTCTTGTTTTATTTCTATAATGATATTGATATTTCTGAAAGTGGTCAAGCAACTCATTTTCAATATTGAATATCAATCCATCGAAACAGATATACACTAATAACACAATGTAAACACTACCAATAAAATTTAGCATAACTACCAAAACAATAAGCACCAGAATACCATTCCTATCCAATGTAAACACTACCAATAAAATTTAGCATCACTTCCAAAACAATAAGCACCAGAATACCATTCCTATCCAATGTAAACACTACCAATAAAATTTAGCATCACTACCAAAACAATAAGCACCCGTAGCCACGGTGATTAAGTAGTACTCTCCCTAACCGCTCCCACCTTATGCCTACCCGAATCAGTCTAAGACATGTAAAAAGATAAATGGTAAGCACTAAGCAGACTTCACCTAAAAATCACCAAGGATTCATTATGCCAGATAATCGAATCTTGAAGAGGGCATCGGGTTAGAAGAATAGAAGTAATCCATTCAAAGCTTTCATCTGTAGACTGTAGGGTGGAAGCGGGCAAATACATCCGGCCCAAAACTTGCTGGAGAGGAAGTGGGCCAAGCCCAGTAGGGTGGAAGCCGACCCAGTACAAACCCTAATCCGACACTAGGGTTTTTATATTTCGCATCCCTCTTTCCACTTCATCTTTTCAGAGGCCAGCGCCACATACGAAAACCAGAAGCAACCGCAGCTCCGCCGCCAAACTCAGACGCGAGCGAGTTAGGAAAGATGCCGGCTGGTCATGGTCTTCGTTCTCGCACCCGAGATTCCTTCTCCAGGCCCTTCAGGAAGAGGGGTTACATCCCACTGACTACTTACCTTCGCACCTTCAAGGTCGGCGACTACGTCGATGTCAAGGTCAATGGCGCCGTCCACAAGGGTATGCCCCATAAGTTCTACCACGGCCGCACCGGTCGCGTCTGGAATGTCACCAAGCGCGCCGTCGGTGTTGAGATGAACAAACAGGTAACACAATTCATACTCGAATCTCCTAGTAACAGTTCGGTTTTCTCTTTCATTGATATCGTGCTTGTGTTTGTCTGAGAAATGTCGGTAGTTCAAGGGAGTTCTTTCTGGGTTACTCGTATTTCGTTGATTTATCTGTAAGGTTTTTCTTGAGGTTCGTATTGCTCGTCGTGTAGGTTTTTGTCGATGGGCTGTTGTCTAGCTCCTCGATTAGGTATTTGATGTGTGTTTGGACTTTGGAGCCAAAATGTCTTCAATAAAGTAACTAAACTTGCTCTGGTGTATTTGTGTATTGTCTTCTACGGTGAAATAGTCTACTTTATCGTCTTCAGATTTGTCTAAGTTTGAGATTTCTCAATTTGGCAAGGACACTTTGGGTCTTGTATTGTATCAGAGGGCTCTGTACGATATTTGAATGAATGGAAGCAACGGATTCAATGATTTCTATTGAGAGTCTCACATAATATTTGAGTGAGAAAATTGGTATTTGCGCTAACTTGTTTCCTTCATTTGTGTACGTGTATTGTTTTTTCTTTTACCATGGTTGTATTATGGTTGATTGATGATGGGATGTTCTGCTATTTTTCCTTCTATTGTTACTCTTTCATGTCTGCAATGTTCTAATGGTTGAGAACCTGACTAAGTTTGCTTATCTCTTAGGTTGGGGGGAGGATCATCAGGAAAAGGATCCATGTTAGGATTGAGCATGTGATTCCATCAAGGTGCACTGAGGAACTCCGCCTCAGGAAGAAGAAAAATGATGAACTGAAGGCTGCAGCCAAGGCCAGAGGCGAAGTTATCAGCACCAAGAGACAGCCTGAGGGCCCTAAACCTGGTTTCATGGTGGAGGGTGCAACTTTGGAAACTGTTACACCTATTCCTTACGATGTCACCAACGATCTTAAGGGAGGATATTAGATTCAGTAGTTGTCTAGGGCTCTTTTCTGTGTTTTGGCTCTGTGTTGTTTGGGTTTATGCAATCTGAAACTTCAATGCACTGATTGAGCCTCTCTTAAATTTATGTAGTCTGTTATGACTTTCAGTTTTGAATGGTACTTTGGAGGATATTTTCTGAGTCGGGATATGTTTTACAGAAGTTATATATGTGCTTTCATTGGAATCTTCATTTGCATCATAGTTTAGTGACCATGATTGGAATCAAGTAATGAATTGGCTGTGCAATCTTCAATATCTACTATTATTCTTCTGTATTACCATCATTTAGTGTTTCTAAATGCCTGCTATTACAAGCTACCAGATGCCGGTGCTGTTTCCCTTTCTGCTCTATCCTCTGTAGTAGGGTGGCATTGTTCGGTCCTCTGTAGTAGGGACTAGGGTGGTAGGGGTTGATGCCATCAATATTCCTTAAGTTCATCAATGAAAAATAACCATTAGAAAGTACAAGTCTTTTCTTTTGGAATAAAACAGGAATATCATTAGCTTAATTTGATGTGGTATGATACGGATTGCTGTTCACCTGTGCTTTTTTTTCTTTCTTTCTTTCCGGTTTCTCTGTATTGTGTGATCTATGGGGACTGACAATCGAAGTTCAATGGCAAAGAACATATTCTGGAGTAATGCTTGGAATAAGAAGTATATAGATATCGTAGTTTACAGCTTAGCCAACTGACAAGTTATACTTCAAGCTTTACCGTTGCATTATCGCGTGTTTGTGCATGTTGTAAATATGTCTCAAGAGGAAAGTAAGCCTCAACCCTAGCTCATTTCAAGCTATTGCTTGTGAAAAGAAAGATGAGGATACCCTTTCCTGCGGCTAGCTCTCTTCTCATCCTACTAATAATACTCTCAAGCTAGCTGTTCTGTTCTGTCGCCTTCCATATGAATGACACACCAGCAGGCTTTAGCTCAGGTCACACCACAGGCAGTCCAAGGCTCATCTTTCTCGCAATGTCATCTTCACTGATTCAGTGCTTGACCAACTGACTATTAATTAAGGGAGTTGCTAAAGGTCGCCCTTAAAATTGCTAAAGGTCGCCCTAAAAAGAATCAAAGTTACACTTTTAAGTTTTACCCCCTTAGCTTCTTTACCTTCCCTTTATCAAACAAACACCACTTGGACTAAAAAAACACTATCTAAGAAGAGAAAAATCCATCATCGTCATTTTGAAGCCGATATCGTCGGAGTAGCGACTCCGACGAGGTAAATACATTAACTGAAAAACGAAAAAAAAAAGGGAACCGCAAATCACCTGCGGTTGGACCATGGCTGGACCGCAAATGACCTGCGGTTGGACCATGGCTGGACCGCAAATGACCTGCGGTTGGACCATGGCCGGACCGCAAATCACCTGCGGTTCAGCCATGGTCCAACCGCAGGTCAATTGCGGTCCACCCATGGTACAACCGCAGGTGATTTGCGGTCCGGCCATGGTCCAATCGCAGGTCACTTGCGGTTGGGCATTTTTTGGGTTTATTTTTTTCGTTGAATAATTTTCTATTTTTTATATGATTTATGATTTTTTCGTTTGAATTATTAATAATGGATTATTAATAATAGAGTACATAAAGTAATTAATTTAAGATTTCCATGTAATCATTATTTACGTTACGTTCTATGTAATCATTATTTACATAAAAGTAAATAATTAATTAAGGTAAAATTATTAATAATTAAGTAGATAAACGAATTACTTTTAAATTTTGATTATTAAAATGTTTAATTTTTTTATTATGTTCTTTAAATTTGTTATCATTAATTAACATTTATCGAAAACATTTTTCAAATTTTTATATCATATAACTAATTTTTTATTATTAATAACATTTATTTAAACACAGAATATTATAAAACAGAATTAAAAAAAAAACGACCGTGGTCAAACCGCGGTTAGACCGACGGTCAACCGCGGTTGAACCGACGGCTGACCGCGGTCAAAGCGCGGTTTGACCATTGGTCAATCGCCCTTTGACCGCGGTCAGCCGTCGGTTCAACCGCGCGTTGACCGCGGTTGACCGTCGGTCTAACCGCGGTTTGACTGCGGTCGAAGTTTTTTTTTTTTTTTTTTAGCTTCTTCTTCTCCGGCGCGACTGTGGAGCGCGAGATGCAGAGGGTCGGCGACGGGACGAGGCGGGCGGCGGGACGAGCGGGGATTGGCGGGCGGCGGCGGGACGACGGCGACTGGCGGGCGGCGACAACTTGGCGGGCCGGCGGCGGGTTGCAGAGGTCTCCGGCGGCAGGTTGCAGAGGTCTCCGGCGGCGGGATGCAGAGGGTCTCCGGCGGCGGTTGATTTTGCAGAGGGAGAGGGTGGAAGGATGAAGGGGCTGTTTGGTTGGCCTATTTTTTAAAATTTCATTATGGGTATATAGGTAAATTGAATTGTAAGTTAGGGCGACCTTTAGCAATTCTTAGGGCGACATTTAGCGATTCAGTTAATTAAACACAAATCCCGGAACAACAAAGATGAAACCTTCAACTACATCTTAGCGCAATCAAAGATTTCAAGCTTCATCATTGGTTGTCGATAAGCCTGTTGATGATGGATATAATTGGCGATATTATGGGTGGAAATAGGTGAAAGGCAGTGAGTTCCCTCGAAGTTTCTACAAATGCACTTATCCCAAATGTCCTGTGATGAAAAAGGTCGAGACTCGAGAGGTAGGTCACTTGAGGGCCAAGTAACTGAAATCATATACAAGGGGCAGCCAGAAATGAGAAAAGAACAGTGGAAACCCTGAGATGAAGGTCTGCTAGTCCAGAAATGCAGCCAACAGTGTTCCAAACTTCCAAACAAACAAAATGGGGTGTGGGGGAGTGCAAAGACACAAACTACTGTAGCTGTAGTTACAACTGCAATCACCCCCCAATTTCAGCTTTCACTTCTCCACCCACAGCAGAATATATAATATTACATCCCCCGCAAGATAATAATCTTTTGTAATAACTTGGGAATTAAGTCCGAGTTAGACTGCAAATCCAAGTTAAAGATCACAAACCAGTCTTCTTCTCTTCGAACGAGCCTTTCGGGCCCCTTTGATCTCTCAAAGTTTGTATGTGGGCTTCCATTTTGTTTTCTTACAGTTTTTTTTCAGTTCTTGATATGTCAAGAACAAACAGGTTCATCACAAAAGACCATTCATGTGAAAGAGGAGGAAACAAAAGGGAAGTCCTGCCAAGTTCATATCTTTATTATTTGATTTATTTATTTCTTAGTGGGATGATGTTCACACAGCCATCGTAGGAGAGATTAGGATAGGAGATACAACAGAAGGAGAATCATCAGGGGTCGTGAGTGCAAGGGTAGTAGCAAACGCAGTGGAAGATACCATCGAGAGACGAGAGTGCACAGTGCCCCCACCCCTTGTGAGTCGTGAAGCACTGTGCTTGGCATGCTGGCACTATGCAGCTATCCGGATTCAGCTCTTTCGCGCACGCTCCAATGTACCCTTCCGCATCCCTTGGCGCCACAGCCAGCAGTCCAACTGCAAGTGAAGAAAACAATTGAAAAGCATGAGGAACAATTGTGCTTTCAGTAAACTGTACATGTTTGTTTGAAAGAAGTTCAATGGATGCAAACCTGAGATGAGGATACAAATGAAGAAAACTGATTGCTTTCCATTGCCACAATGATTCTCAAGCTTTCCCATTTCTGTATGCGGAGAAAGATCGCTTGCTAGGTGGGAATGCAGGATTGGCGCAGCGTAGTCCTCGGTATATAAGGAGTAGCAGTAGCAGGCCAAAGAGTGTTAGAGTCAACAAACCGATTCAATGCTGAGGTCAGGACAGATCAAATAGGAGGTTGAAATTTCAGAGCTTTTGAGTGTAGCAGTGAAACTATTTCAGCGAGCAAAAGTTGCGACTATTGGTTGCCATAACTAAAACAAGTTGAATGGCGTTGGCAGATTTTTTAGTCAAGAAGGTTAGAAACGAGCAGTACTGCCACTGTGATTGATAGCAGAGATTGCACGCATGTAATGCTACTGATGCAACTGTATTCATAGAGGAGACAAAATTGTATTTATTATTGTTTAAACGAAAAGAGAAAGGAGACTGCCTTTTGTGTTTCCGCCATGTTCATCAACATTTGGTGGCCTGTCTCAGGAGTCAACATAAACGCTAATTTTGTCAGCCATTTTCTTAGGATCTTGTCGGATTTTGAAACTATGCGTCATGCAGAAGCACAATCCCCACCAACTAGGTCGGCTCCCTGTTCTTGGTTTCTTACTTCCATCCGCCTACCTGCAATCTGGTTGAAATTGATTGCTACTTACGTCCATTGTTCAACATGAATACATCCATCTGTCTAGGAAGAAGTCATATTCGTATTCGATGAGTAAGTGGCCCAAATGGTTAGCGGATAAACTTGTGAAATGGTTGAATTAGGAAACCGGGATTTGGAAGAACATGCAGGATATTTACTGTAGTCTAAATTCACAATCAAAGGCAAAATGCCATTTGGCAAGTCGTATTTCATTCTGTAATGTAGCTTTACGAGAAAGAACATCCTGACGCAAGGCAGACGCAGAAAGGAAGAAAAATGTACAAGGAGATCAAGAATAAGGTTAAGTACAAATGCAAGTGAATTGATTAGTGAAAGTCTGAGTGCGATAGGAACCTAAAATTAGGTTCTATCGGATTTAGGGATTTGGTGTGGTGGGAGGAAGTGAATCACCAAGGTGGTGATTAACTATTCTGTAGGTAATTGTAGGTAATTGGGATAGGAAAAGGGGATTGGAATTTGACAGGGGAAGGGGAGGGAAGAAGAAAGCTGCTGTCGCAGCAGTAGAGAGGGGAAGAGGTTTGGGGAAAGAATGGCTGCTCGGCAGCCTAAGCCTTGGGAAGGAGAGGGAGGTTTCGGCAGAGGGGGTTGGGAGAGAGGAGGGAATTAGAAAATATTAGGTTTAGGGTTTTAATTCTTGCTTAGTGGTTAATTTCCACGTACAAGTAGTTTATATAAAAATAGAAAATTCCCTATCATTACCCGAATTATTAAATAACTCCCAATTTGCCCCAATAATTTTCAAAGGACAATAAACCGACAAAAGTAATCCGAATTTACAAAACTATGAAAATGCGGGTTTCTATCATCCCCGCCACCTTGGAAACAACCTTGTCCTCAAGGTTGACCTGAGCTCACTGCTTCTCTTCCAAGGCCTCCATCGCCTCGTCCTTTGCTTCATCTTCCTATCGTCCCACCAACATCATCACATCTGGCCTTGCACACTGGTGACCGAAGGTGAACCGCTCATTGCAGTTGAAGCACTTGCCCTCTCGGCGCTTCTGTTCAATCTCAGCGGGTGTCAGCCTGACGAAGCCCTTCGGTGGAGGGCGAGGACCCGGTCTTGACCCTGTCGCCGCCGGTGGTGGTGGCGGATCTCCTCCTGCAGCTCCGGTTCTCGCTCCTGCGGCCGCGCTACCTCTCCAATTGCCCGCGGAGTTGCTGCTCCCCCCTCCGCTCGGCCTTGGGTAACGGCCGATGGCGCTCCTCTAGCTGGCAAGTTCTTCCTCCTTGTGACCTGCATAACGAAAAACAGTTCTTACCGAGTCGGGTTCAAACACCCGGACAGCTGTCGCGATCTTTGGCTTTAGGCCAGCCAAACATAGGCCCACTAGTGTTTCTTCCGGAACCCCTTTGCACTGATTCCCCAGCTTGAGAATTTCCGACCGATACTCCGCCACTGTTCCGGTCTGCCTCAACTTAGCTAGCTGCTCGGGGGCCCATCCCTCTGATTTGGCGAACTGATAACGGAGTTCTTCTTGGAACATCGGCCACGTGATCAGAGTTCCCGTAGCAGCGTACGACCTCTCCAACCATTCCCACCAGTGCAGCGCGTCACCTTCCAGATAGAAGGACACCAAGTGCGCCTTCCGCTCCACCCGAGTTGGGTGGTTCTTAAACCACCTATCCGCTGCATACAACCACAACCTTGCATCCTCTTGCCCATTGAATTTCGGAAATTCAATGGTTGGAGGCTTAGCTCTGAAAACTAAGTCATCATCCACATCATTAAAGTAGTCATACCCAGCATACCTTCCACTGTGCGGATTTCTCGGCCCTCGGTTCATGTACTCGGCTCCCTCCTCGCCTCGGGGTGACCCGGTATACCAGCTCCTCGAGTCCGGGGTTACTCGCCCCGGTCCGTCCGGTCCCACGCGCGACGGTTAGAAGCCTCCTGCCTTGCTACACGATCCGCGACAGCCCATAGGGAACCCCTGGTTCTGCCCGCCCTGCTGCTGGTTACTCCGGGCCGGTTCAATGCCGGTTCGACCCGGTTGGGTCCATCTGAGCCCGGCCGGCTCGATTCTGGTCCACCCGCCCCGACCGGTCTGATGCGACCCGAACTCACCCTGGTCGATCGCCCACCTCTGGTCTGACCTGGCTGCCCTCTGGTTGGGTTCAGCCCACTTCTCTGGCCGGCCCGCCAAACTAAGCTCATCTTCTTCTTGGGTTAGTTCTGGGCCCAACCATCCTAGCCCGTTAGGCACCCAAGCCCGGCTCCCCTCTTCTTCATGGTTCAGTGGGCCCACATTGTCATAGCCCGACATTTTGGCCTTGTCCCGCCTTTTTGCCATCTCTTGGGCCGTCGGGGTCAGAAGCAGACCCACCCCACTGTTGGGCCCAAAGTGAACTTGGCCCGCACGCCCTGTCTCCAGCCCTAGCCCGATGGCCGAGACGGCCGACCCGCCTGCTCCCGTGGCCACTGTCGCCGCCACCGTCCCTTTCGCGGCTCCGGCCGCCGCGATCGGCGCTTCCCCGCCCTCACGCCCGAGGTCTACCGGGGTCTCGATCCTTGGCGGATTGCTTAGGGCTCGTCGAATTTCATCCATCTCTTCGCGACGTCTCTCCTTCACCACCTCCCGATCTACCATCAGTCTCTTCACAGCAACCTGGAGTTCGCTCACTGCGATCTGAAGTTCTTCCAGCCCGGTCTCGTCCACCACCCTGAACGACTCCAGGACTCGAGTCGTTGGGTTGGGCGGGTCTCGCTCCACCGACGCAGCAGCCGCCGCCGACCCGCCTTCATCGCCGCTACCTTGCCCCGTCGCCGCGGTGGTCGCGGTCGCCTTCTCCCGGGTCGCCTCCTTCGCCGCTTTCTCCGCAGCCTTCTGAGATTTCGTCACCGCCCTAACGTGACCATGCTCTTTGGTGATTTGCTTGAATCAAAACGGGGTTTTAATATCAGATGATAGAAAACTAAAATTAGGTTCTGTCGGTTTTAGAGATTTGGTGGGAGGAAGTGAATCACCAAGGTGGTGATTAACTATTCTGTAGGTAATTGTAGGTAATTGGGATAGGAAAAGGGGATTGGAATTTGATAGGGGAAGGGGAGGGAAGAAGAAAGCTGTTGTGGCAGCAGTGGAGAGGGGAAGAGGTTTGAGGAAAGAATGGCTGCTCGGCATCCTTGGGAAGGAGAGGGAGGTTTCGACAGAGGGGGTTGGGAGAGAGGAGGGAATTAGAGTTTTAATTCTTGCTTAGTGGTTAATTCCTACGTACAAGTAGTTTATATAAAAATAGAAAATTTTCTACCACTATTCGAATTATTAAATAACTCCCAATTTGCCCCAATAATTCTCAAAGGATAACAGACAAAAGTAATCCGAATAAAAAAAATTATGAAAATGCGGGTTTCTATCAGAGTGCAAGATCGTGTCCCTTTAAGGTTCATCACAGCCGCGCACTGACTGCTGCAAGTGTCAGGATCACAGCTTCCGTTCCCAGCCCTTATCACTAGTCGGCACAATTCTTGTGCTTCACCGAAACCATTACTGGCTTCCAAAACAAGCATGACGGCAAAGAAGAAACACCAATAAAACCTGTTGTTGCTATTCCCCATCTGAAATCTCTGAAGAGACAAAACGGTGAGATTTCAGCACTAAAGAGAGGAGGTATTCCCGTGGTTACAGAAAGAAGTGGAAAAGCGATTACAAGTTAGAATGTTGTTTATATAAGGGCTGGTGGGAGATAGCAAGGAAGTAGTGCACTTTAGCCTTGAGATGAAAGAAAATAATCGGTTCAAAAGGGAAGAAAGAAACCCAGGTCCCCCAAGTTACTTGGGCACTAATTAAAACATCCTATGAGGTCCCCAAGGAGAGACTTCCTTGCTAGGTGTCTTTTTGTACATACAAATACAATGGTTGATGCTAGCTGCGATGACACGAGCTTAGGTTTTGTTTCATTCTCGTGAATTAAGTAGTTGAGATGCCCGTATAGTGATGCAACGTGATTGAGTACCTGTACCTGCAAGGAATCGATATCAGATTTATAAGATGTTTCACAGTTTTATGGTGACAATTGACAAAACAACCCTTGGTTGTAAGCTTTCTATCAAATAACAATATGGCATACGCGATGAATGTTTGCTGGATGATTTAAGTGTTCCTTGCCCGGTTTGATGCCCGGAGTTTCTTCTTTGGATTGACTTCCGCCATCAACAGGAGAAAAGAGTAGCATGTGGCGCATCTGTTTCCAGTAAAATCTTATCAGCAGGAACCTGCAATCTCCAAGATGTAACCACGATCATCTTGAAGCTACGGAATTAGAGAAGTAACCTCACCAACTGCGGACGAGGGAGTGACTTCAAACAACTCTTTCAATGTATGATCCAACAAATTGCGGTTACTGGGTTTCAGTACAAATGTAGAGTTAGTAAAAGTTGGCTTCATGGTAACAACTTTGGGGAGACTAACGCCGGAAAATCTTATACGAATTCGTCAGGCACAGCTTCCTCTATCATCTCACCTTCCGCCGTCGCCCAACTTACCCGCCTGCAGTGCACCATCGACCATTTTGTTTGCTTGGCGGGACCCACCCACCATATCTCATCCCTTCCATCCATACCTCCAGCTCACCTTCTGGTTCTGGATAAGCTCCCTCCATTTCCCAACCATTTTCGAAACATACAACAAAGGCGTCGGCTTTGGGCAAAATGTTAACTGTTTAAAAAAGTCCCACAAAACCCAAACCTCTAAAATATCTCCTCTCCAAAATCCCAGGCCCAGCCAAGATGCTTTTCTGAGAAAATATCCCAATTCTCTTTCTCACTAACGCGGAGCGACACATCAATGGCGGCTTTGACTGCATGTTCACACGGAATTGTGTACACTGGGGAATTTCACAACAGGGGCCAACACCAGCAACAACAGGCCGGTAGCAGCGGCGGGTTCTTCTCTTTGAACAACTCCCCTTCTTCTTCTTCTTCTTCTTCTTCTTCTTCTGGGTTTCCTCTGTTCGACGGGAGAAGGAACAGAGAGTGTTCAGGGAAGAGGATTTCAAGGAAGAGGGATTTGAGAGCCGACGGTTTCTGGCCGGATTTGAGGGCGCGACCCACTTCCGTTGAGATGGAACCCATCACAGATTCAGAGCAGCTTGATCAGATCCTGCTCCATGCCCAGGAGCTCGCTCAACCTGTCGTCATTGATTGGTAAAGTTGATCTCATCTTCTGCTATTTCTCCAATTAGCTCGTGAATTTTGGAAATAAATTCGGTTTGGGGAATTGCTGCTACAGGATGGCATCTTGGTGCCGGAAGTGCATATATCTGAAACCCAAGCTGGAGAAATTAGCCGCTGAATTTGACACAAAGTAATGCAGTCCGCCTAATTTCATCTCCATTCTTTCCCGCCCTGTCTTCTCATTTTACGGGTTGAGTCTAATTGAGACTATAACTCATCTTGGACTGGAAACAGAGCAAAGTTTTATTTCGTGGATGTGAACAAGGTCCCTCAGACTCTGGTGAAGCGCGGGAACATATCCGTAAGTTGTCTGATAAAAAATGCTTCAGAGGGACAGATTTCGATTTTATTTCGCCCACTTCCCTCCTCCTAACGACGCTTTTCCTTTTTGATCCTTTTGGGTTGTTTCCCACCAGAAAATGCCTACAATTCAGGTTAGTCCAGCACATGAAAACAATCCCTTTTTCTAACTTCTGTAACTGGAGACATGGTTTTCTGAGATTGGCGAATTGGGAACAGGTATGGAAGGACGGGGAGATGAAGGAGGAGGTGATCGGAGGACATAAAGGGTGGCTGGTGGTTGAGGAAGTTCAGGCTATGGTCCAGAAGTTCCTGTGTTAAGGATGATCTCTCTGCCTGCCCAAGGAATAACGCCATACCGTATATGTGTTTGTTCTCTCTGTATCTACGGGGAAATCTCAGTTGAATGCAGGGATTTCACAAAGGGATACATTCAGTATTTTTGTATAAGTAGTAGTATTGTAGCAGCAGGGTTTCCTCCTGTCCATTACTATACTATTCATATATCTGTAAAGTATACGAATATGCCATGGATTTCAAGCAAGAAGCACATTGATAGATATCAGTATTGGAGGATAAAATTTAACAAGATCGAATTTATGAACAACAAGTCGCTTCGGTAAAGTGATTGAGGCGCGTTGAGGGACTACCTGATGTTGAGGGGGTTTCTTCTTTGGAGTGAGTTACGCCATCAACAGGAAGATGAGTCTCCACATTTAGAGTTGGGGTAGCATCTGATGCATCTCTTTCCAGCAAAATCCTATCAGAAGGAATCTGCAAGTTCCAAGATGAAACGACGATCATTTCATTACCTATACGGGAAAAAGAAGGAAAGATAATCTTGTAAATGAACTAACCCCTGCTAGCGTTCTCTTTGCCTTCTGTGCTTTCATGGGCATGAGAAACCCAGAAAATGAGAAAGTAAGCACCGAGCTTGTCAAGTTCAGGAACCATCTCAGCTTGACCCAAGTAGGAATGGAGGATGATGCCAGCTAGAGGTGGTAATTGGATTGGTGGATTAGTGGATTAGTGGATTGGATTGGTGGATCAATGGATTGAATCCAATGGATTGGTGGATTATCCATTAATCCAAATGACATACTCAACCAAGGACCAATATGTAAAATGTGAAAAGTTTAGGTATTAAAATGTCATAATGAAAAATTTTAGGTACCAAAACGTGATTTTCAACGATATTTTTTCGTATAAAAAAATCAATTTTTAAGTACCAAAATGTAAAAAAAAAAAAATCATAGATACTAAACCGTAATTTGCCAAGATCCATGAATCCAATCCATAAATCCATCAATCATAGGATTGCCCAAAAGGAAATTTATGAGCAAAGCAAATTTAACTTCCTCAATAAAATGGATATACCATCAAAACCGAAGAAAGAGATATTCATCTTTTCAATGATTATGAAACCATCAAACTTTTGTCTCAAAATTCTATTCAACAACACAAAAAGAAGTACAACTATATCCATATTGGGTTAGTTCAAGTAGGGATTAAGCCTCTATTCAAAGAAGGCCTTAATATTGCTATTTTAATGGTTTTACGAGATTGTCGGTTTCTTGAGTTTAACGACTCTTTACTTGGAACTGTTGAATCAAGTCTTTGTAATGACCCAATTTACTTCAATTGTTTCCCAAACTTTACTGTCTCTCTTCATGACAAAAATATTTTAGATGTTTTAACCCTACAAATAAAAACTTTCAACTATAAAATCCAACAAAGATCTTTACCTATATCTTTGGTTTACCGCTTACACTATAAAGCTATGAAATCTACTTTCTCTTCTAAAATTCTTCAATATGGTACAAAAGGAGAAACTATACTTTTGCAAACTGATTTAACTCGTACTAACACTGTTACTCCCAAAACTATCAAATGGGGAGAAGTTACTCTTCCTACAGAATGGACACTTGAAGGAACTACCATTCCCAGAAGCATCGACCATCGTCGGGTTAATCAAATTACTCAACATCTTGATGGTACTGTAACATCTCTTTTGCTAGGAACTCCATCTCTAGCATTTCTGATATAGACCCTGAATTGACAGAAGATGCTCGACAGCGCATCAACACTTTTCTTAGAAGCCAATCTTGTAGAAATATTTCTCCCATACCTACACCCACTCGACATACCTCCTCTACACTCAACTATGATCTACGAGGAATCAACCACTCCAACAACATACCTCAGCCAGTTTATACTCCACCACCTCCCACAACTCTTTTTCCAAATATAAATACCTCGAGAACACCAAATATGTCTCCTACTGCCTCACAAGCTGCATTTCCTGAGGAAGAAATCCCTTATGCTCTTGTTGTCATTACACAAGAGTTCAAAATCAACAAAGAATTTCTTCGCCATGATTTCTATTCCCAACGAAACTGTTTTAAACGCGAGCAATTTTTTACTGATTACTCTAAGAAGAACGTGTACTTATACAAAACTCTTTCTATGATTATCTCAATAATATACGAGAACACCATTCTTTCTTTAATTGGTTCGAACACGTCTTTTCTCAATCTTCGATAAATGTTCAAACCAAGCCTACGACTTGGTTAACTACTAATAACTCTAAGATCCAATCTATTCACCCCCTAATGCTCCTGTTAATTTTTCTTATTATGGAACAGCAGTTCAAGCCTCTCCTTTTAAATTAAAACGAGAAAATAGTGACCATGTCAAAGGAGAAGATATTCTACGTCTGATTGAACAAAACAATTATACAAACCGATTTCTTCAGACCTTAGGAGATCAACTTACTAATGTTGAAATCAGTTTACCTCTGTCTTTTGCGTCTACTTCAAATACTCCTATTCCTCTTTCCAACAAACTTAACTCCCCCATTTTCAAACCTTTTGAAGTTTCTGAAGAATCTAGTCTTGAATTTAAGCTTGAAATAGAAAAACGTCTTAAACAACTTTCTACACAACTATCCACTTCTAAGACTTCTTATATTTCTAACTCAAAATCCACGAGCAATGAGGATCAAATTGTCGATGACTCAGCCGAAGTAATTCAAGACCTAGAAGGTCATATTGAAACAGAAATCAATCGTCTCCGATGGAACCAACCCTCTGCATCTAAGATGTATTACCCACGTCTCACAGCACCTGATTTAGCTCTGGAAGAGAAACCCACCATTATCCAAAATAAATACAACTCCAATTCTATTTATGAATGGAACCTTGATGGATTTTGAGAATATCAAATTTTGAACCTTCTTCAACAAATGACTATGGTAGCTAATGCTTACAAAACTCAAAATCAAACTTCTGATTACGCTATAGCTGAACTACTTATAGCCGGCTTTGCTGGTCAATTAAAGGGTTGGTGGGATAATATCTTAACCACGGAAGACCAGAGAACTATTTTTACAGCTGTCAAATGTGATTCTTCTGGAACTCCTATTCTAGACTCCAATAATCAATCTTCTCAAGATGGAGTTGCATCCCTGATTTTTGCCATTTCAAAACATTTTATTGGAGATCCTTCACATCTTAAAGATAAAAATGCCGAACTACTTTCTAATCTTCGTTGTAAAAAGTTTCATAACTTCCGATGGTACAAAGATACCTTTTTAACTATGGTTATGCAAAGAGAAGATGGAAATCAACCATTTTGGAAAGAAAAGTTTTTAGCCGGTTTACCCCGTCTCTTAGGAGATAAAATCCGAAACAAAATCCAAGACACTTTTAATGGTCAAATTCCTCATGAGCAACTTACTTACGGAGAACTTATTAGCTTTATACAAAAAGAAGGATTACAAATTTGCCATGATTTAAAACTTCAAAAACAAATCAAACGCGACCAAAAACTAACTCGAAAAGAACTAGGATCTTTTTGTGCTCAATTTGATGAATCTTATTCAAAAATTTCTTCCAAATCTAACTGTGAGGATTGTAGCACCAAACCTCATCAAAAACATCGCGATCGTCCCTATCGATCTTTTAAAACCACGAATCAAAAATCCCATTTCTCTAGGAATTCCCTCCTAGATAAGGGACCAAGATCTAACAATGAAAATAAAAACATTACTTGTTTTCGTTGTGGAAAAACAGGTCATATTTTCAAATATTGTCGTATAAAAAAGAAGCTCAATGAGGTTAATCTTGATGAAGAGATTCATGACAAAATCAATAATCTTTTTCTCCAACACTACTCTTCCCATGAGGATGATTCTTCTGAGGATGATGATGATGAGAATCTTCAAGCCTTACAATTTGATGACATTGATGAAAGTTCTGAATCTTCTATCAATGTTTTAACCAAAGATCAAGAGTTTATTTTAGATCTAATCAATAATATTGATAATCCTCATCTCAAAGAAAAATATTTCAAAAAGCTTCATGAGCACATGGAGAAACCTCCTGTGACTATTCCACCTACCAATCCCTTTCATCAAGGTTCGACGTATAGTGTTAAAGATATCCTTTCTCGAAATAGTAATAACGATTCCCACAATCCTTCTCTTCCTGACTTCCAAAAGGAATTGGATATTGTTAAGAAAGAAATTCAACAATTACGACAGTTACAAAATAGTGATCATGAGATATTACAAACTTTAATAGCTCTCAAACCTTTAGAAGAGCCATCAACATCTAGCCCCGACAACTTTTTCGTTGAAACTCCTCACGCAACCAACAGTTTAGAAACAGAGGAAATGCTAACTGATGACGATTTTCTATGTTTTTTTATCTACCATTACTACCCAAAAATGGTATGTTATCATTAATATTCAGGTTTCTTCTGATTTTACTTTAAGCACAGTGGCCCTTCTTGATACAGGAGCAGACATGAACTGCATCCAAGAAGGATTAATTCCAACCAAGTACTATGAAAAGACCCTCGAGCGTCTATCTAGGGGTGGACAACGGGAAATGGGTATTTGGGTATACCCATACCCGTCCCGTTTTTTGAGGGTTACGGGTACCCAAATACCCGTTTTATTTTTAACGGGATGGGACTTGAGATCAATGATTTCTACAACGGGTACCCATAGGTTACCCGTTAATACCCGTTTGGGTAATACGGGTACCCGTAATACGTCGCCATCATTCTTCTTCGTTTCGTCTAGTTTATATAGGCGTATTGGTTACTTACAGCTGCTGCTTCTTCCTTCACTATCCCAAATTTTATGTCCATCCATTCATCTCAAACTGACAACTGAAATTCAAGAACTTTAAAAGACAGCAAGCTGGCTATTCATTGAACTAAAATCCCCACGTTGCACCATGAATGGCTATACATACAACAAGAACATGGTATTCTATTCTCATTTGGTCTGAATTCATCAATAAGTTTAAATTCATTGTTGCCCTTAATTAACTCGTTAACATACCTTCGGGAAATATAAGGGGAAATCCATGTGGGAGAGCAGTGGAGGATCCTAGTAATATAGAGAACCAAAAGAAGCAATCCATGTTGACTTCGTTTCTTATATGAGCTAATAGCTCTTCATCTGAGCTGTTGCCAGTTTATTCAGCATTGCCCTTAGCTAGTTAACACCCTCTACTTTTGTTGTTGTATGTATAGAACTTTGTTATTCTCAATTGTTGGACGGGTATGTACGGGTAGTTTGGG